ACATATGGGATTGACTATCTGGAGACTTTTGCCCCTGTTGCTAAGATGACATCTGTGAGGGTTCTTTTATCTCTGGCAGCTCACTTTGATTGGCCTCTCTATCAGTTAGATGTRAAGAATGCATTTCTGAATGGTGACTTACATGAGGAGGTCTACATGTGTCTTCCTCCAGGAATGTATGGGAAAGATATGCAAGGAAAGGTATGTTAACTGAAGAAATCTCTTTATGGCCTCAAGCAATCTCCTAGAGCCTGGTTTGAGAGATTTAGAGCTGCACTTGTTAAATTCAGCTATGTTCAGATACAATCAGATCATACTCTTTTTGTTAAGAAAAGTGGATCTCTAGCAGTGTATCTCATTGTGTATGTTGATGACATTATAGTGACTGGTGATGATGCCTCAAGCATTCTGGCCCTTAAGTCTTTCCTCCGTACAGAATTTGAGATTAAGGATCTGGGGGAGTTGAGATAYTTCCTTGGCATAGAAGTTGCCAGATCCAAGGATGGGATTCTTATTTCCCAGAGGAAATATGTCCTTGATTTGTTGTCTGAAACTAGAAAAATGGGTGCAAGACCAGCTACAACTCCTATTGATATGAGTTACAAACTTTCAGCTTCGGATGGAACTTTGTTAGAAGACAAAGGGGTCTTTCAGAGACTTCTTGGGAAGCTTCTATACCTGTGCATGACTAGGCCAGATATTGCGTATGCTGTCAGTTGCATTAGCCAGTTCATGCATGCTCCTAGATATACCCATATGGCAGCAGCAGAACGGATTTTGTGCTATCTGAAAGGCATGAACAATTTTAGTATTATTATCTCCTTCCTTAATCCACTTATGCCTAATTTTTTTGTCTCCAACCAACCTCCTCCTTAAACAACACATCCTCCAACTTCTTCCTAAGGGACCATTACAAATCTTTATTTTCCACTCAAAAGGTTCCATTTTCTTCTTTAAGATCCAGCTCCTCAATTTGGCTTCAAGTCTCCCAAGCTGGTGGATATTCCATTCTTTTATTTTGGCTCTCAGATCCTTCAACTTCCTATGAAATAACATGCCCTTCCATTTAACCCTTAGCTGACTTCCTTCCCACCATTCCTTGACCTTCTCCAAAAAACCATTATGACGAGCCACATGTTTTCAAATCTGAACAGTGTAGGGTCACTCCCTCTAAAATCTTCCTTGGCAATGGAAATAGGCCAATGGTCCGAAGTCACCCTAGGTAAAACTCTCAAAGCCATACTTCCCCAATACACTTCTAGTCCAAAGTAAACAAAAATCTGTCCAACTTGGAGCATATTGGATTAGCTTGAAGATTGGACCAAGTGAACTTGTTCTTCCCACCATCGGATTTCCCTCGGTTGGCCTCTGATGATCCTCATCTACTTCCTCATTGGCTTCCTAGCTCACCAAATTATTTGGTTATGTCCCCCCCCCATCAACCTACTGTATCTCAACCATGTTCCTATTTCCACCCTTTGTCGCAAGATGCAAAGAGTAGAAAGTTCCTTTCGAAGTGTACTCCTTGGCAAATAACCTTCCAATAATCTTCATCCGCCTCGAAGCCTATACCATCCTCCTTACCAATGTCAATAGGGGACTCAACCTTAGAATCCGAATCTTCTTCAGAAAAGTTATCTTCAGCCCAATCATCATCACCATCGTCTTTTTCCTCCATGCAAGGTCTAACATACCTCAGATTACGACGTTCTTTTTCAGGTCTCCTATTTTTCTTCTCTGTCAATTGCTATCCAAGGAACTCGCTGCAACTTCCTTTTAACCCCTTGCTCGACCAGTGCTTACCATCGTCTTAGCTTGAGAAGATGATAGACCCATCTCACTATGTCCTAATGTAGTTGTTGGTCGACCCATGTGATGTTTTAAAATATCACATGACTCACTTAAATCGAGCTCGACCATCCCAAATGACACTTCATCCAGCTAATCCATCCGGCCTTTGATTGGTTCAAACTTGGGCGATGGCTGGTTCTTGGAGGATTTAAATTATTGTCGCCCAAGTAAGAGCCGACAAGGTTTTAAACTTTTTAACAACCTCCACAAAGCTTCCTTCCATTAAAGTTGTCTTCTTCCCAAAGCCCAACTGTTCAACTGCCTTGCCTGGAAACCAAAACCTCTCGGACCACTTCCTTCTTCCTTCCACGTGTACACCACCCTTCCACCTCATCATCATCTTTTACCCAATTGCATCCATTCTAGAGCGACGCTTCCACTTCCGTCGCCAGCCACACTTTGCGCCACTCACCATTGGAGAGAGCATCAACAGAACAAGGCACCTCCTCTGGCTTAATTCCAGCCACTCTGATTTTTGCAGCATACAGATTCGAGATGTTACAGCCAATCAACATACCACCCATCATTCTTGCTATATTGTCGAAGATGTCATCTTCCACAAACAGAATGGGAGACCTAGCAGCTTCGCCATGAAAAGACTGTTGTGAAAATCTCTACTATTACAGGAGGCATTCCATTCCTGTACCACAACCGGACCTAACTCAGTCTTGACCGAAACGGGAACCACCTTCTCCTCTCCCACATCCAGTAAGGCTTTCTTCTCATCAAAGGGTATCAGAGAAGCTTTGCACTTAATCTTAAATTTATCAATGACAGAGGTTAGAATCGTATTCCAATCCAAAACCTTCCTTTCTGCTGTGAGAACAAACCTCTGAGCCCACAATCCTTTCTCAGAATCCAACATAAGTTTTTGGGTTTTAGTTGAGCTTATTACAGAGAAATCCTGCTCCTTTTTCTCCTGCCCCTTACACTCTGTTTTCCTTGCATCCATACCAGCTTTGGTCTCTTCTTTTGTGGACTGACATCTCAGTCCTTCTGTCTCTGATAAGTGCTTCCCCTCAAAATTTTCTTTCACCAACAGGGAAACCTGCAATTTATCTGTTACCATCTTCCATCCCACGCCTTCCTTCCCCTCCGGAATGCATATTAACTGCTTTTTGTCCATGCCAAAAAAATTCTGAGATTGCCAAGAAACACTCTTTTCCCATTTCTTTTCAGTACCACCTCATATTTTCTCCTCAGAATCTCCAAGGTACACGTCCAGCCATTTTGCTTAACTGAGAAAGTTGCCCCGTCAAGAAAGCCTTTGAGCCAGAACGCTGCCCCTCCGATTAAGAAAACTGTAGCTCTGTTTCCTTCCCTAATATTTAATGTTGGTCAGTCTTTCCTTTTTCCTTCCTCGAACAGCAATCTCTTTGCCTCAATCCAATCTCCTCTCTCCATCTTGTCACTGGGCAGAACTCTCCGCTCTCCATAGATCCTTCCATGGTAATCATGTTGTTCCCTGCCATTTGCATGCATGTATAATACCATTACCCCTCCCATTCCTGAGGGATCAAGATTAGACAATGACCTACCACCAAGTCCAAGATTCAAGTCCTCTCTCATACCTTAGCATAGGTCATCATCATGGATGCAGTGGAAGATTGTAGAACCAATAGAAGATCTTTAAATAACCTGAGTGCTGATAGTCTGATACAATGGAATTCCCTTTGAACTAATGACCATTATGCTGCTAGAAAGAGGATTCTTTCTTTTAGGATGTTCAGATGTAAACATGCCTCTTTTTTTCTTTTTTTTTATGAGTAACAATGATTTCATTTCATCAATGGAAGTATTTCATGGGTATACAAATTTTTCTCACTCTAATATTGAGAAGAAGAACCAGAACCAAAACAAGTACAAAGCAGCCCCCTATAAGCTGACTAAAGAGATTTTCTGAATGCAGTTGACTACCCAGCAAATCCATATACCGGTACAAAGTACTAAGAGTTACTAGCAACCCCTTCACCCCAGAAAGGCTGCTAGCTAACGAGTTAGATGATCATGGAGCCCAGTTGAATGAGATGTTCATCCAAACAGCCAATGATCTTAAAACCAAAAATGTTTTTTTTTTTTATGTGTAGTGATGATTTGAGCTCATCCCTTATTTGAGAAAATAGGCACTATCCTAATGAATGGCTAAAAATATACTTGTTTTAAAGGCGAAAAGAAAACTAGTGCATTAACCTTTTACTTTTATAGATAAGAGTATCTTTTATCTTTTCTTTGGACACGTGCCCAGTTCATAAAAAATGAAATATGAGCAAGTCATCACCCTTTTCTACTTAGAACAAAGAAAGAAGGAAAGAATACCACAAAGCACTAACACTCCATTGTTGAGATCCTACATCCATTAGTGGTTTAGTTATATTATACTTCTTCAAAGTGCAAAGAACACTTTAGATTATGGAACAATAAGTATGGCTGCTGCATTCAGGAATCTTATTGTAGCATAATGTCTGACATTATGTTACAATAGGGAGGCCTTGTTTTGGGCTTGCTTGTAATTCTGTTTTGTTTAAAGGCTCATCATCTTTTTGGATGATGACAGTTGTACTCTTTAATTAATCAATGAAGTTACTGTTTCCTATCAAAAAAAAAAACATAATGTTTAGGTCATCATCGTCACACTAGCTTCTATAGAGCAAAATTAACTTACTCAGACAGTTCAAATTATATCTTAATTTAGTTCTCAAATATTCTGAAAAAATAATTGTGCTTTCCGGTGAGTGTATATGGTAAAAAACCAATATCTAGATTTTTTAAACTTTTACGGTACACTATATCTAGATCCATTTGGGAAAACATGGAAAATTGATGGCCTCCAGTTAAGATATACGCTACAAATCAAACAAACAGAAAATAAGTGGATAATGAATATCTTAATGGTGTAGAAACCAAAGGATGGTTTGAGAGCATACCCATCCTTTACAAAGCCTTTGAAGAAATCAAGCTCAATCGTTTCAGAAAAAACTACAACACAAGCATCTGGATGATGATAAAGAAGACTTTCAAGGCCTCGTTGATGCCGTACACTATACATCCATGGTGGGGAATTCCAAACCATAAAAACTTTCATTGAGCATTTACCTTTCCCAAAGAATTCATCCATGAAGTCGGAAAAAGATAGATAAGGATCTAAACCAGGAAAATAACCCCATCTCTTGCCATCAGCATATTTAGGACCTGATACCTCAGATTGAACCTGAGACACAGAATCAGGATTCTTCAAGAGGGTCTGTTGAACCAATTCACCCCTAGAAGAATTTTCAATGCCTTTTGTATAACCGTGTTGCAAAGGCCCCCTCCCAGTACTCTTATAGGATGAGAAACCTTGTTTTTTCACCATATCAGTATGTGAAGTTTCATTAACAATAGCCGCCTTCTTAGCTGAATTAAAAGACTCAGAAACATTAACAATGTTATTACTGTCGACATTAGCAGTCGAAGTGTCATCTAAAGTTCTACGTTCTGTCCTTTTGACCTCATTCTTTGTTCCTTCAGCATTTCCCTCCAATCCCTTTATCCCAACATTCACATTATTCCTCTTCCTAGCAGAAGAGTCATGACCATCTCCTACAACTTCAGAATCACGGGGCTTCTCCAAAATTCCCAATGGTTTTCTTACACCAAAGGGAATTTTCTTAAGCTCATTCCACATTACTTTCTGCATAAGCTTATCTCCCCTTGTTAGAACCGTTGATATCCCATCTGGGTCTTGCAGAAGGGGATTGTTCAACGGATTTAACAGCTCCAAATTCGACTTAAACATTCTATCCCGTCTCAAAAAGTCACCTTTTGCCTCAAACCAAGCTGCCCAACCCTCTCTCAATGGTGAAACCCTGTTACCCGCCTTCAACAACAATGCGTCTTCAATTCCGTTAATTTGATCCAGTTTACCCCGAATGTCCTCATCCAAAGGCTGATCGTCCGAAGCAAATACAATCTTACTCCGATCCTCCGAATCCAAACCAAAACTAGAATCAGAATAATCGTCCCACTGTTCATCAATCGAACGCCTATCGAACGCCCGCCTCGTCACTCCTAGAACATGATCCCAGTAATAACCAAACCTCTTATTTCTATTCCAATCCACACCCTCAGACTCCGATTCCTCTTCATCTACTCCTCTCAGAATCTCCTCTTCATTCGAAAGCTTAGACTGATCATCACTCTCTTCTTCCACAACATCCAGCTCATCGATCCGATCGTCATTTCCGTTACCGGCACCATCACCGTCTACATCTTCTAGTAACGGATTGGCAACGAGTTCATCGAGGTCGTTGGAGGAATCTTGTGAGAAATCTAGATTTGGAACAGAAGGAAATCCTAACCCTAATCTTGAAGAGGAGAATGGGCGTACCTGGGACCGTCGGTCAAAGCTGAGTCGACTGTAAAGAACTGAGACCGAGAGGAGGAGAAGGAGCGCAGCGATGATGGTGCAGAGCTGAGCACCGTAACGGGGGCGTCTCCGGTTCCGGAAGGTTCTAAACATTTTTCGGTTACGGAAGGGCGAAGAGTTTCGGATATCTCGTTAGCGGCAATGGTGGCATCAGAGAGACATAGAGGAAGAGGGGAGTGAGACTTGCTAAGGTGCTTGGTTTATCGAAGGCTGGGAGTACGCAAGAACAACGTATAAATTTCTGCTTTCCTGTGAAAATGCCCCCAAGAACACTTCGAATATCCGGCCAATTGCCCCATTTGAAAAAACCTCATTTGTTGAGAAGAGACTCTATCATTCTTCCCTTTCACAGTTGCGGCAGCACACCATCAACCGACGAACCAGAGATCCCGAACAAGAGATCATTCCAAAGGTTTTGTGAGAAGGAACTCCATCAGTCTTGCTTACCATCAAGCAACAAAAATGGTTTTACTTGTAGGTGTCATCTCTGACGACCGTGAAGAACTAGAAATCTCGAAACAGAGATCTCAAACTAGAGACCATTCCCAATTGGCGAACCCTACTTACCATCAACCAAGCAAACAGATGATCTCAAACTAGATCATCTCTGATGACCGTGACCGTAAACGTGAAGAACCAGAGATCATTCTCAAGGATATTTGCGACCCCGATATCTTAAACCAGACCGGAGATCGAAACTGATCCAATTATCTGACTTCAGAATCCGACACCGCTCTAAATTTTGGGTAGTGTCAAGTTAGTATCCGAAATTTTAAAAGTGTCAAGTTAGTCCCTCCCGTTAATCGACCATAAGTTATTTAATGAAAATGTAAAAATTACCCTTTAAGAAGATATTATTCATTGTATTTTACCTTAGGACTTAACCAGTTATTTTCAAAGAAAAAAAAATATGAAATATTATAGCAGAAGCAATAACCTGAAACAAAGAAATAATTAGACAATAATGTGTTGCAAATCTTAAGATAGAAGACAATGACTTCATTAGTCTAAAATCTCAAACACCTCAACCGGTTCAGTCTCAAGGTAGAACTATAGAAGACAATGAACAGTGTCTTCTTTTGAAGGATAGTTTTGACATTTTCAATAGATAACCGATGGTCGGTTAACGACAGGGACCGACTTGACATTTTTTGAAAGTTTAGGTGCTGTAGTGACACATTTGAAAGTTCGGGTACTAACTTGACACTAGCCCCAAGCCCCTACTTCACTCCTCCACATGTTGGAGCCGATTAATGTATAGCTTACCAAAACAATAAATGAAAAAAAATGTAAAATTTGTTATATTTTAGTTGATTATTTTGAATTTTACATAATATAAAAATTCTAAAAATTTAAAATTTAAATTGATGCAGAAAAATAATATCAATATAGTTTAATGTTATTAGAGAGCAAAACCATTTTGTAAAACATATTAGCCAATTAATTTTAGAACCACCATAACTATCCTACAAACAAATCAACAAAAAATAGATGATCCAAAATTATAAAAAAAAAAGTAATAAAATAAAAATGTCAATATCCATATAATAATATTATAGCTTATTTTGGGCTAGGGATTATTTTCCTCATGATTTTCAAAACCGGACCGGATTGGACGATCAAACCAGAAAAACTGGGAAATTGGTTCCGTTTTACCCCAAACCGTTATTTTGCCAACGTTGATCTGGTCAGCAAACTACTAACTCAAGTAGTCGAACCATTCAACGGTTTTGGTCGTTTTTAATTTTTTTATTATTTTTGTCAAAATGGGCCATTCGTTCAGTTCGAACAGTCGGATCGTTCGACCCAGGAACCAGACCCCTGATCGTTCATTATCTAGTTCGATTTTAAAAATCTTGATTTTCCTTGAAAAGTTATTAAATCTCATCCTTCCATCTTTCCCTTCCAAC